CATCTGACACAGATGCAGTCGGAGGGCATGAGGCTGAGTGAAGTTAGTCTATCACAAAAAGACAAGTATTATATACGAACACTGCTATAAAACTAAAAAAAAAAATCCATCTAAAGGATTTTCATACCAAAGGAAACAGGTTTTGATGGCTACCAGGCTTGGGAGGAGAAGCAGTTGGCTAGAGCGTTGTCGGACCGAGTGACCTTATGCACAACAGAATGACACACTGCCCTGTCCTGCGCCAGCCTCACAGGGGCCCCTGTGCCTGAGCCCATGGTCGCAGCCACAGCGTCAGTCCATCGCCTTGAGGGCTTCCTCTCTTTTGCTGCCCCTCCACGTTACCAAGCACGATGTCCTTCTCCAGGGACTGATCTCTCCTGACAGCATGTCCAAAGTAGGTACATGAGACGCAATCTCTCCATCCTTGCATCTAAGGAGTACTCTGGTCATACGTCTTTCAAAACAGGTTGGAGAAGAGTCGATGCATTTCAACTGTGGTGCTGGAGAGCAATACCAAAGGGACCAGGGACTGCTAAAAGGTCAGAGAGTAGACAAGTGGAAGTAGGGTGAAGGGGAAGCTAATACCCCAGCAGAGGGAGAAGGGCAGAAAGGGGGGCAGGTGGGAAGAGGACAAGCTATTGAGAAGTTGGACGCATTGCTTAAGTTGTTGAATACAAAAACAGTGACCTGAAATGTAAAGATAAAACTGACGATGGGAAATGGCAAGCCCCACCTACTTCACGATAAAAAGCTAAGAAGCATGTGTGTGTAAAGTTTAACCATATTGTAAACTATCTATTCTGTATTAGAAATAGCGAGTTGAGAGCTTACACTTCTCGAAGCTCATGTTGCTCTGTACACAAACTCAGTCTCTCTATGTGCAGTTGGTGAGTCCTTTTGTGTTTCTCCGAATAAAGGCAATGATTTATCCCCCGCCAATGCCAATAAAAAAAAAAAAGCTAAGAAGAAAAAAAAGCAAAACATCCTCTCTGATACAGGACTGTGCATCTAAATAGACTAGGACAGCAATTCATTAGGAAGAGACCAAGGGCCCCGTGAAAAGTACGCAAAAGACTTGACCGTCCGTCACTGAAGCAGCAGAGGACCAACCATCAAGCCCATGAAAAGATGCTCAACATCATCAGCGATCAGAGAAACGCAAATGAAGGCAGCGAAGAGCACAGCTTCACACCCACTCAAAAACCCACCCAAAACAACCAAACTCACTGCTGAGACCCCGAAGGAGAGGGCAGCACGGCCCCTGTGGGTTTCCGAGGCTGTAACTCTTTACGGGAGTAGAAAATCCCATCTTTTTTCCCTCCAAGTGGCTGGTGGTTTCGAACTCCTGACCTTGCAATTTGCAGCCCAACTTGTAATCATTACGCCACCAGGACTCCTTTCCGGCCCGCCAGGAGGGTTCACATGGAGACTGACAACAGCAAATGTGGGCGAGGGCGGGGAGCAAACAGAACTCTCCTGTGTTGCTGTGGAGGTGTAAGCTGTGCGGCCTCTTTGGAAACTGTTGGGCATTTTCTTATAAAACCCCAGGTGCATCTCTAGTTAATCACCTGAGAGCAATGAAGGCAGGTTTCCACAAAAGACTTGTACAAGAATGCGCCTCGTAGCTTTATGTACGATCTTTCTAAATGTCCACGAAGAGGTGATTGGACAAACTGTTATACCCGCACCGTGGAATCTTACATGGGAGGAAGAGGGGCACAATACTGATTCCCACTCATAGAACATGGATGAATCTCAAAAACATTACATTGTGCAAACAAAGGCATTTTTTAAAAAGTACCATCCTATATTATCTCCTTTATAGAAAATTATAGAAGAAACCCAACTAATTGTTAGCGACAGATAGGGCAACAAAGATGGTCCCCAGGGGTAGAGATGGAAATGAGACGCCCGGAGCAGCTTCCTGGGGTGATGGACATTTCTCAGTCACCCGTGGAGGGGTAGTTACTCGGGTGTATTTAGTTGTTAAAATTAATCAAACTATACACTTAAAATATATGTATTTTATTTTCTGGAAATACTGCCTCAATAATCCACACATAAGAAAATGACCAGACAAGCCACTATCTCAGAGACAAAAACGACACAACACATCTGACTAAGGACCAAACTGGGGGTAGGGGAAAAAGGGGAGCTGATACCAAGGGCGCAACAGAAAATAATGATGGCAACACATGTACAGATATGCTTGATACAATTGATGTGTGGATTGTTATAAGAGATAATACAGGAACGAGAAAAATACAGTCAAATAGCAAAATGGAAAAAAGGCATGAGCAGACTTCACAGAGGAGGAATAAAAACAGCTGTGAGCATCTGAACAGCTGTTCGACGGTCATTCGTAACCAGGCCAATGCAAATTAAGATGAAGTGAGATACTGCTTCATACCCACTGGATTGGCACAAATGGAAAGGTTGGACCACATCAAGTATTGGTGAGAATGTAGAGCAAGAGGAATTCTCATGCCACTGTTGATGAGCGTGAAATTTTGTATAATCACTTTTGTTTGGAGTTTCTCTTCTATCCCTAGGTATATAATTTAGAGGAAGTCTTACACTTGTGATCAGGAGACACGTACAAGAATGTTTATAACAAAATTATAGTAGCCAACAGAGCTACAACTTAACTCTCCACCTATATCACATAATTTGTGGTGTAATCACACAGTGGGATATATTCAGGAATGACAATGAGCTCCAGCTCTTCACAACCCAATATTTAAAAAGGAGCTTAATGTTGAGCACAAGTTGCAAAGCAGAAGAATATAGAAGACAAAGGATGCCATCTATAGAAAGTGCAAATGCAGTCTGCTGTTGAGCGATACACACCGAGGTGCTTGCCGGATGAACAGACTTTGGGTAGGCACACGGGGGCCCTTTCGGTTGTTGACAATTTTCTCTCTTTTAGGCTGGCTGGTGAGTTCATGAGTCTTCATCACAATAGTTTTCTACCAACTACACACATACTACTTATAGTCCTTGGGCACATGTATTTCCTCATTTAAAAAAAACAGGCACTACATGAACTAGGTGAAAGAAGCCTTCTCCATGTCTGTCTGTCTGATTCCATTTGCATGAAACGCCCCCAAAAAGAACATCTCTAGAGGTGAAGGGAAGATTTGTGTTTGCCTCGGGCTTAGAAAGTGAGTGGGGAATCGGGAGTGATTGCCAAAAGATATGGTGTTTCTTTTTCAGGGGATGAAATGTTCTAAAAACCATAGTGAAGATCTCACACGCTGATGATGATACTAAAAGTCACTGAATTGTAAACTTTAAATGGGTGAATGGTTCGGTATGTGATTTATACATCAAAAAAGTCGATATAATAACAACAAAAACAGGTAGAGAAGTGGAAAGGGTGGAAAGGCCCTATGTCAGTCCAGGTTGACTAGAGAAACAAATTCATACACACTCATATGTGTATAAGAAAGAGCTTTATATACAAGAGCAGTTGAA